GGGCACTCCACTCCCAGCCCCGAGACGGCCTCCAGCAGCTCAGGCAGGGAGGCTGCCACGCAGCAGGGAGGCTGGTACAGTAGCAGCACTCCCAACTGTTCACGCAGTTTATTATTACTGGGAAATTTCTGGGAAATTTCCCAATTAATCTCATCTAAAATGACCAGACTACAAAAAACAGATAGATGGTAACGCCTGTGTCATATCCATATCTCTGCATAACTGCCCCAAGTCAAAAGCAAAGTCTAATGTATAACTTTATATAATAATTGTATAAGCTGCCCATCTCATATACATGAGTCTGGGCAGCTAACAATTAAAGCAGAATAGAAAAACAATAAAAACAGCCAGAATTTTTTTAAAAAAAATATAACTTGAATGTGTTGGGCCTAATTATTATATGAGATAATACCATGTCACCATGCAGATCAGGAAATCCTGGACAGATTCAGACTGGGCAACATTGCGCCCTTGCCCAACCAAGTTTTGGTAATACATACTAGATCCACCTGCTCATGAGAACATGAATGATCATAGTCTTAGTGCAGATGGAATAGACATTTACCATCAAAACCTCAAGGTTAAAGTCATATATTATTTAAAACAAATATTTCAGAAATCTTTAATTTTTTTTGTTTTTGTAGTTAAGATGATCAACTTCTAGTCCGAAATGCCAACATATGTAGAGGGCATGATATTGGGGACGGCTGATTCCATGCGTCAGTTTCCTGTCAGAGCTCTAAACAAAGGAAGAAATGAGGCTAAGGAGAAATTTATTTAAAAAATGGAGCACCGGAAAGTTAAAAGCTGATAGAAAATACAATCAGAAAAAGAAAAGATTAGTAGTTACAAGAAAAGAGTCAAATACCCAAGATCTATTCTGGACAAATAATTAAGAAGTCTAAGACTAGAAATAAAAATATAGGACATATGATTCTTGCCTTCTTGAGCAACAGGGGTTATTAACTTATTCCTGGAAATATCCTCACACCAAACTGAAAGAAAAATGTATCTGTAGCAATTGCTCTTAATTTAATATATTTGTTACCACTTGTTCTATCAATTTAAACACAAAGCATACTGTGAAGTCTAATATTAATTTTGTGCTTGTTAACAGAATATTTATCAAGACTAAATTTAAGCCCAGAGAGAAAGAAATCAGGTTACACAGATTTTTGTCTCTAGGATTGGTGTTGCTTGAAGGGGCTTCAACGATGGAGTCTTTAGCATTATGGGTGGACTGGAAAAAAATCTGCCTGAAACAGTAAAGAGCTATGCCGTGCCAATGGACTCATTCAGTATAAAGCATCACTTATGTTTATAATGCAAGCTTACAAACATAACACCATTAGATTCATATATACCTGGATACTCCTGCAGATAGTTCTGGCACCACAACCCTTCGACTCCATGCTACCAGGTCCCGTTCAGTTGCTATTTCACTTCTTGGGGCATTGCTATGCATCTGTCGAACTCCTTCAATTTGTCCACTGCGTCTTAACCCCACATTTGGTGGTGAATGTACTTCTGAGGTAGAATTTACTGAGCCTAAATATAGAAAACAAAACAGAAATGAACACTTTAAAACAAGGTATTGAGTAAATAAGAGGAAATTTAAAGCTGTTACTAATTACATAGGCCTAAAGGTTTTGTGAGCAAAATTCCTGATTAACATACACATATTTTATTATTGCAAAATGATTTAAATGTCATTATTATTAGGCTCAAGTACTATGTTTCCATGATAAAATCATGTCAATCTATTAGATCAGTGTTTTTCAACCTTGACAACTTTAAGATGTATAGACTTCAACTCCCAGAATTCCCCAGACAGCATAAATTCTGGGAGTTGAAGTCTATACATCTTAAAGTTGCCAAAGTTGAAAAGCACTGTATTATATTATTCAAGTTAATTAAATGAAGAATGTTTTTACCTCTGCCAATTCTATTTGTATTACTGTTTCCAGCCTCTCCAGACCGGCGCTGATCTTGTTCTTGTTGAAGTCTCTGTATCATGCTATCCAAAGGACTAACTTGTTGACTCAAAACTTGGTTCAGTCCTGTAAAAAGTAGAATTTGGATCTAAAATGCATTTAACGTGTATGAAGTCCATTAGAGTGCATGAAGTCCAAACTGTAAGTGTTCAAATGTTAAATACATTTATTTGCAACCATAGCTTTTAGCAGAATTCATATAAAATTACAACAATCTGTCAGTTCAATTCATCCCCTCTTAAACGAACAGCACTATCTGTCAATATCTGCATTTATATCTTCCTTCAGGCCACTGCAAACAATGCAACTTGTTTTGTTACATGTTCTTCTACATCAGTCAGCAGGAAATAGATTTTTTTTCTTCTATGCTGGACTGATTCAGTTGGGTTAACATAATAAATCTAGCTCTGGGTTCCTGATATAATTTGCAATGTAATACATAATGGATCAGATCTTCCACCCATGAATTATCACAAATGAATAAACGGTGTGTAATTGGTAATCCTTTATATCTTCCATCCAAATAGGCTGTTGGCACTGTCTGAAACTGAAGTTCTGGGAAAGCTTGTCTCAGGGAGTGGGATGCAGGAGTCTGTAAATAAAATGACATTCCTTTTCCGTCTTTAAGAGATCAGTACCACTTGGCCAACTTAAGCTTGTATACATGCTCTTTATCTATTTAAAAAATAATTAGTTTCTCAATAATGTATAGTAATTTATGTCATTCAACAGTTCCTGAATGAGTGAAAATTGCGAGAATAGTTTTAGACACAAATTCACCCATCCACTACAACTGTAAGTGTTCATTCCTTTATATGTTAAAATGTTAATGGATCAAGTATTTGTTATTTGCACATTTATGCCTGGAGCAAATGAGCACAAGTTCCCAAATAATTCCCTCTTTAATACTGCTAATGAATACTTAGTTAAATTAATTGTGTTAGTTTTCTCTTTCATAAAAACTGCATAAGAGATTATGAATGAGAAACTGCCATTTTATCACTGATCCATTTAAAAATGCAAAGAAGGCTGGAAAATAGATCCAATTTTATCACTTATTGATCTTCAGATGATTAACTGGATGGACAAGCAAACAAATCTCACACATGGCACTATGCCTCTTATTTCTTTTCTTTTTTTGGAAAGGAAAAATAAAAAGGATACAGGAATAAACTCAGAAAAACATATTATTTGTTGTATTATATTCTTATGTCCTTGGAATTGCAGATGGTAAGAATGCTAAAAAGCCTCTCTCAGAAATTCTGGAAAACTGTAAGATACCATACAAAGTTAGAAGTTATTCATACCTGAGGAAGTTACCCCCATCTGAGGAATAAGCTGTTCCTCTCTACAGTTTTCACGTCCTGGAACTAATCTCTGAAATCTTGATGGATGAGGGTTACCATCAACATCAACCAAAAATGGAGGTGGCATGAGATGTGGTGCCTGTTGTGTCTGTTCATCCAATACAAAATTATTGGCGTCACGAATGAGAGGCCGATAATCACTGTGAAAGAACATCTGATCTGCTATCTGTAAATAAAGTTTTTGTTAAGAATTATAGACTATATATAATTGAAAGAAAGCTTCACAAAATATAATTCTGAATCAACATTAAAATAGTTGCATATTGCTAAAATGACTTTTCATAGATAACCTTCTTTTAAAATTAAATCTAGATGAGATTTAAGAACTGAATCAAATCAAATAAATTTTATTACAGCCCTAAGGCGTAATACAACCAAAATATCTAATAGAAGTATTACATCCATATATCCATCCATCCATATAACAGAAAAACAATAGATATAATAGGATCTAAAAATAAATAAGAACAGAGATACTAAAATAAATAAAAATAAAATATTATTATAAGAAATTCCAAACCTAAGTAATGGTGTGGCGTATCTTACAGATAGTTGCACAAAACTGGGTGACTTGGGAGGATATTTTCGAGTCCTTATCCAAAAGAAATAACATTAAATAGACAACACACTCCCTACCTGGAAATTTCTTCAAGATCAGATACAGGTAGTCCTCAGTTTAAGAACGAGTTCTGTTCCCAAGGTCTGTCCTTAAATCGAATTTGTATGTAAGCCGGAACAGTATTATTGTATAATACTGTATAAGTAGTATTGTGTAATTAACTCAAACCATTGTTTAACTCAAATTATTGTGCATTTAACTTGAATTTTGCTACAGTAGGCTCCGTTCTTAACTATGGCTTGTCTGTAAACTGGGTGTTCTTAACCCGGGGATTACCTGTATATAAGGGTCTGTCTAGAATCCTTATGTAGGGAACAGTATAGTAGCATATGGCTTAGCGTTTCTACTGAGCCACACAAGCATAACCAAAGGTACATAGGGATACCCTTAAAACGTCCAAAAAGGACTGCTAAGGGCAAAGCATCCAACCTGGCTAAGATGAAGGCCTTACAAAATTTCAAAATGGTAATGAATGATAAAGAGGAAGCTGGAATGAACCCCTTTGGAAGAAAATAATAAATATTGGAGTGTAACACCTTATTTAAATTTGTTAGGAAATCTGTATCCCAAAGTTGTTGTCTAAAGGTGGTTCTAGCATCATCAAAACCTAATGAGCACAGACTTTCCATAGAGAAACCCAGCAACTGAATTTTATCTAGGGCTTTTTAAAGCCATGAAAATTTAAAACTAAAATGGGGCCAAATGTATTGGAAGTAGAATTAACTTTAGCCAGAAGGTAAAAAGAAGAAACCATGCTCTAGCATCCAATGAAACTACATCTGTTTCTACATGCAAGATAGCATTTTTTATACTTTTTGGAACCATCAATATGTCTGTAATAAACTTACTTTGAATAGTTTCAATAATATTAAGCTTTGTAAAGGAGCAGATTTGGGAGCTATAGAGAAGATGAGGGACTACCTTAGCTTGAAAGACCTTGCAAGCTGCAGGGATATAACGGGCACCTTTTGAATGGTAAAATCTAACAATAGCTGTAGAGGTACGCTGTGTGACACTTGCCCAGTTTAAAAAAAAAAAAAAGAGCATTCCAGGATAAGAAAGCATGGAACTGCACTTCAAGATACTTATAGGTCCATACCTGTTAAATATGAGTTCCATTTATTTGCCATTTGTGGATTTTATGACAGTATCAGGCAAAAACTGAGACTTTGGTTTTCTAATAATTTATTGATAGTTTTTGTTCAGTACAAAATAAAGCTAGTGCCCTAAGCGCTTTTCTCATTCCCACTTGTGAAGTAGATATAATAACTACATCATTGGCATCCAGTAGTGCTAGAACTGCATGATCAGCCAAAATGGGTGGATGATGGGCTGAAACACCAAGCGCTTGAATTATCAGATTTAGATATAGATTGAAAAATAATGGAGCTAATATGCAACCTTGTCTTACACCTCTGTAAGTTGGGACTGCTTTAGATAAATGTCCCCAAATACATCTAATTTTCAGGGAGAACTGAATGAATACAGAATGCCATCAGTTCAAAAAACTGTGCTAATTACAGTGTAGCAACTAAAATTATAAATTACACAATTGTTTTATAAAACAGTTTTTTAAAGCTGCAATTATGTACTTGGGAGCCATGGTCCTCAAAGACTATGAAATTTACTTCTCCATAATGACACATTCATACATATTAATCCTGCATAAGGATATATACTCGGTTAGGAGCAAAATTTGTTCCTATGTGAACTCCTTTTTAAAAGCATTATTAGCATCTTAATTATTTTATAATGGAATAATTAAATGAAATATCTGTACATCAAAAAAAAACACCTTTTCTAAAGCTGTTGGATTTAGGTAAACTTTGAATTGTGCATACCATGGAAAATTATTTCTAGCAAGAAAAATATGGTTGATTGATACAAGTGTTATAACAGTTCTAGTAACAAATTATATTACACCTAATAGTTCAGATGAACTGTAATTAGCTATAATTTTTCAAAGTTTTCAGTGTAATTACAGGTAGGACTAGCTCCCTAAAAATGTTTTTGTAGTTCAGAGTTGGCATATTTAAACAGCAATAATCAAATACAGGTTTTTTAATTTTGGTCAGTGCTATTACAGATGCATTAGTTATCCTATGAAATTAGGAGTAACAAAAAAAAAGAAAGAAAGAAAACCCCTCAAGCTCCTCTATGT